TTACATACTACCTGATTAGACCTAACATAGTTTTTTATTTCTTCGTACTACTATTAGGCTAAAATAATAACTGTAAGTCTAGGCATATCCTACAAATACAATACAGTAATTAGGCGTGGCCTACGTGGTAAGCTCTGCCTGCCCCCACCACCCTCCCCCCCAGGCCTATTATTTTTTTTACGTTTTTTTTTAATTTTCTTTTTTTTTAAGCAGCTAGTTGTAAGCAGCAGCCTCTTCCAAAATTCTACTTTCAGAAAACCCCAAATGTTTTTAAGACTTACCACTAACTCTGTTTCTCTAGAGAAAATGAAAGTTACTGAACAGTAGTACTGGGATGGGCTGTTATAAAGAGGTTGGATTATTGTATGCCATCAGCAAGAATAGAATATTTAAGCTTGTTGTAATAGTTGAATGTAAGTGTCAACATCATCATTTCAAGTCTGTTGTTTCCCCACACACAATGGTTTTTTTTTTTTTTTAAAGATTTCGAAGTACCTGTATTCACAGTAATACACAGTGAGGCCTATATGGACATCTTGGCATTTCCCTATCAATTCTTAAAGTACAGTACTTTGCAATAAGTTTGTCTTTTTAATGCCAATGCTGTGATCATCAATGCCAAGTTGAAGCCATAAAAATGCGCGTAGACACAGGTTAGAGAATAACTAATAATACAACAGTCATTATTCCTCCAAAGACAAAGCGAGCGAGACAGACAGACAGACCATAGGCAGACGAGTCAGGTCGTGCTCATTCGCACTCTGGAGCTTGTCTCTTTTTAGTACAATCTGAGACAACTATACGTATAGTTGTCTCGGGTATAATCACGAAGCAATGAGATGGGCTATTAATCGCACTGTACTTGTTGCATGCTCGACAGAATTCATGTGATGTAGAACAGCCAATCAGGCTGCTTAATTTTCCTTCATATAATTCACATATAGGAAAAAAAATATTGCTACCAGGGAACAATGATTTCCATGGTTCAGTGAACACATAGTGCCTGCCACCAGTTACTGTAACATACTGAGCTCTACTGCCCTCACTGGCTGTTGTAGCAATCAACACCTGATTATAATGCCAGTCAAATTATTATCTTGTTGTGAAGTGTAGTAACCAATAAGTTCCATTAAGTTAATTCAACATAATAAAGATCATATGTCTGTTTTGAAACACTATAAGAATCCTTAAAAAAAAATCCATTTGGAATGACTGATACTATGATAGTAAATAATTAAGTTGATTCTTGCAAGGGCCGGGAAGGGTAGGGATAAAAAAAAAAACTTGCACCACCCCAGGTTCCCTTACCCTACCACCAGAAATTTTCCGAGCACTAAAAATTGACTCAAGTGCTAAGTACTGGTAGGCTAGTCCAACATCCCTAAAAAGGGCTCACATTTATCTCAGCCCCACTGAGCAAATAAAAAAAAAAAGACACTTCTAGACGCCCGGAGATGGCAATCTCAGACTGTTAAAATACGTTTTCAAAATAGTGACTTTAACAGAATGACATTCCCCCAAGAATGCTCCCCGTATCGGTCACTGGCCATTGGAAACACTATTGGTTAGAAAATGCATCATATCAGCGCCACCCACTAATCATTTATTCCCCATTACTTCCCCTCCCCATGTCAATACTCTATGCTACTAACAGTGAGCTAAACTCAGAAAAAAAAAGCCAGACTCTTGTTAACAATGCCAGAGTAAATGTTCCTGTTCTATTAACAGAAAAACATTTCTAAGTAACAAAAATCAGACAGAAAAATTGTTATTTTTTAGTAGTCACACGGGCCAGATTCCAATGTTTGGCGGGCCGGGGGTTGAATACCAGTGTTCTACAAAACCAAACAGACAAGTACATACAGAACATGTTAGTCAGTGTGGACTAAAATACTGTACTTATGGGATAATGACGCATTTTCTTCATGCAGACAGTACGTACTCAACACCACATGGCGAAACCTCACTCACTTTAATGATTGATATATGAATACTCCTAGTGCTATCATTATTATTACCATTGCTTATAATTATCCTAATCTGCCAATTACTAAAGCTGCTCTTGATGCCTTTAAATTAACTTAAGTATAACCTATTTTCGGAGAATTTGCATTAGCAACACTGAGCTTGTTAAAAGCACTCCAAAATTTAATTGGGTAGAGCACTAAACAAACACCATATCGTTATTATTGCAGTGGTAATAATAAACTGCAGTATGTCACACTTTTTTCAGTTCAGTAAACAGATTCGGACCCAATGTTATGATATTAGAAGTCAAATGTCTTACTTAGCAAAATAAAGCTGCGATATATCATAATTATTGTTTACATTATTGCTGAAAAAGATTATTTTTAAATTTATTTTTCCTTTTTTTTGACATTGAGATTATTATCTTAGCCAAATCTTATATAAGTTTTAATACAATGTGAAAAACCAAACTAATATTATCATCATTTTCATTAAAAACAATGTACACAAATAAAACCATGAAGAGATCATAATTTGCTTTGAAATATTTATAAATTTCAGATAAACCTTGACCTTTATAAACTAAGTACTGGAAGACTTATAATGTTCTGTCCACTTAAATAAATTGCAAATATATTTCAGTTTCATTGCATATTAATGCCTTGACCCAGATGCCGAGTATCAATCAATCGGTAACGAGAACCTAACTAGGAAAATACAACAGAATGGAATGGTTTATCAGAATACACTGGAAATAAAGAGCAGGAAAATGCTTGTTATTTGTGATCACTAAGAATAGAACAGAGACAGTGTGAAAACGTCCTTGTAATAACATACTGAGCTTAAGTTTGGATTAATAGTTATTAGTTGTGACGTTAATGCACCTAATGTTGTTTTGATAATTTAGATTTAAAGTAAATAGAAAAATCTTGTCATCATAGTTGCCAACTTTAAACATTTGAAATTAGTGAGATTTTATGATGTCTCCTCGATTGGCTAAAGACAAGTCAACCGATGGCCTCCATTGTGGCCCAGGAATAAAAATCTGCTCTGGGAATTTTCACCAACATTTACGTTGATCTTGGAGATAAACCACTTAAGCACTGGCAGTGTTATCTAATAGACGTGGGGCAAAAACAAAGTGGAAAAGGGGGGGGGGGGGCTGTTGTAACCCTCAAAAATTATTTGCACCATGCATACTATTATGAATGCTCCATGCATCTCCTAAAGCTGTCCAGATTATCAAATTTGTTGTATGCCTATATTTAGTCATGATGTGCCTATATATGGTCATCATATGATGTCATCATTACCATATTTAGGCATGTCACATGTTTTTGTCGTATAAAATTTGATGAGCTGGACAGGGCTTAATACAGGCATACTAACAGTAGTGTGATGCTGAGTCTAAAGTTGCATTATCCCTTCACTCCCCTTGCCCCTCGGTTTCCTATCATATTTCATCAGCACTTTGGGTCACTACAATATATTTACTAGACTGGGTTCCAGTCCCTAAACTTTGTCTTAATCAGTGAAAATGCTTAAAAATAAATTGATTTTGGCACCATTGGCGTTCCATATTGCTTATTTGCATGGCGTTCCATAGTATACTTTTTCTGGGATTAGGGACTGGGCAAACAGTGAGGATTTCGATTGCAGCCACCACGATTTCGTGGTGTATGACATATTTAACAACTTTGATTTCCGATTGGCTAATACTGCAGCATAAATTAAACATGCTAATTATGCTTCACCTCGGCCCAGCTAATGATAAGGAGGATTCAGGTCAGCTCAGCTTGTGCACCGCGACGAGTACTAGGCCTCTAATCACAATTCGTCCAACCATGGAGGTAATATTTAGACACACCTTCACAACAGATGTGTGCCACATAGGAAAGTGTAATAAATACAGTATTATTATCGATATATGATACAACCAAACTCATGCTTTCTAGTCGGGTTCAGCACATTCAGGTTTAGGCCTTGCCTAGAGAGAGCACAATATTCACGTCGGGTTAGCAGACATCGATTGGAAATAGGCCTACATTAGTTTTAACCAGTGGCGGTGGACTGTATGTTCTAGTACTGAGCCTCTCATGAATCTAAGACGGTTCACAAAACAACCACTTTCTAGACTGCAGCTTTTCCACGCACTCGATCTTGTGCGGAGAACAAAACTTTCTCTTGAATACAACTTTTTTGGCATTTTGGTTGGTGTTTTCTTTTCCTCCATTAACAATACCCCAATATTCCACACACCTGAACGTAGCCATGTCCCAATTTCCTCCTCTCTACATTCGTGGCATCAAAATGAGAACCGTTTGATTGGTTGACCTTCCGTCATAACATTCACCCTATTGCCAAATATGGCATCCTAAAAATTACGTCATGCTTTTCACCGCCAGCGGTGTGTAATCGATTTGAGTCACTCTTTTACAAGTCTCTAATTCGCATCAAAAAGTTTCTTGACATAAACTGACGCTGGTGGCGCTTTCTGAAATGTTCTAATATTAAGAAAAATCAATAAATTAGAGACTTGTGGCAAGTCTATATGTTTACCAAGTGGTCCACTGATTATATTTAGACAATATAATATCAGGCAGACTCCAAGAAGACTAAGAGAAGCCATGATTCAAATCATGGCTTCTCTTAGTCTTTTTGGAGTTTGCATGATATTATTACAATATGTTTAGATTAGAGGGTGTGTCAGTGAGTGATCCTTAAATCAATGCTAAAATTATTACTGAACGAGGATGATAGACAGCAACGATACGATTTCAATGATCGCGAACACAGCAACGATAGCCGATTCAAGTATGATTTGAAGATGAGGCAATTAATGAGATTTTCCTTATGAGTTCGCTTGTCAAATGTGTGTAGCAGAAGTTAAGATTGATGGTTACTCGGATTCAAATTCAATTAAAATGTCTGTTAGCAAACACGACTTTGACTCACAAACTTTACGAATCAGTATAATGCGGTTAAATATTCGGCTTGTATGAAAACCTGGACTATAATTATGTTTCACCAACCTGTTCATCAGCCTCATCAAAGGCCTCGGGTTTATCAATGCCGCCAAGCTTGTTGATGACCTCCGCAACACCAATGACCTCTCCGCTGGGATCCTTGATCGGCATGGACAACATGCTCCTTGTTTTGTACCCTGTGCAAAGATCTACTTCACAGTTGAACCGAGAATCCTGAGAAATGAAAAAAAAAAAATGATACAGAACGGTATTAATTGGAAAATAAGTAGACTATTTTAACAATCTAACTACAGATTGAGGATCTATAGCTGGTTAGGTGTTGCTGTGAGTAGCCACCTTTGACCTAGGGTCCAAGGGATCAAGACCATGATTCAAGGGAGGGGTGGTTCTGAGGTGTGTCTTCTAACAAAAGGTAAATTAATTAAAATATGATTTCTAGCTTGTGTATGTTATTGCTATGTATATTTTGTCAGACTTGCACAAATTAATCGACATCAGATCAATAAAAAAACGTGTTACATTAATACAGGTATTGATAAACTGTATTCAATTTATGATATATACTGTAGTTATTACAAATTGTTTTCATTATGAAACAAAGAATACCATTACAGTATTAAATAAATTTTAAAGAAGAATATGATGATGTAATAATAAAACTCAATAAGGTATTAGAGTAGGCTGGACTTTCTAGAGGTTTAGACCATCAACTGGAAAAAATATTTCATTCAGTAATTAAAATTAAAAATATATGAGAAACATGATTTTTTATTTAAAAATATTCAATACATATTTTTCTATTTTGTATATCAGTAATCCATTGCTATGATGCACTGAACACTACATTGCCGTCTTATCCTAGGATTTATGCATTATTAGTAATCTGCACCATACTACATACTGTAGCTTTTTGATCCAACCATACTAACTGTAAACACTAATGGCTAAAAAATATATTATATAGGTTGCTAAAACGTGAAGAAGCTTTCTACATCACGCTCTATAAAAACGAACACATTATTATAATTACTATTCATTTACAGGACTTCGAATACATGTATTGGAGGCGAAATTTAGATCTGGTATTGAGTCTAACTGAAATATTTTGAACAGAGTATTTTTAAAATTGCATCTCTTTAGCTACAGTAAGTACCGTATATAAAGGCAGGAGATGTGGGGACAACAATGATTTCAGCTCTTGCTTCTATTAAACTTATATAAAAAATAATTAAATTAATTGAAAATAAATATATAAAATAAACAATTATTTATATTAAAACTGCAAGAGTTGGCTAAACTGGTGGTAAACTATGTGAGCGTTGACATGTGTTAACCTTCAACACCCGGTTCAATTCTATTTGCTACTCTTCTCCATGTATAATATCAGTGGCAGATCAAAAGGGGAGAGGGGGGATTTCAGGGGATTCAGACAATCCCCCTGCCCCCTCTGTGAAACGTAACAAAATACTACTGGGTCCTAGGTTACAAAATACTTGCTTATCTACCTAGGCATAGGTTGGCAGATTGGACAAACTATAGGCTTAGTCCAACTAGCCTTCAATTAAATAAAATTAAAAACACTGTTTTTGGTTTGACTTCGTGTTAATTTATGTACGAAAGTGCATTCTTGAGGCCTATCGGTTCATCAAAAGTTCATTGAAGAAAGACTACATATCCAATTGCTCAATATCACTGGAATATAATAATATACTGCTTATGTCTTTGATTTTTCTTTCTCTATGTATAGGCCTAAAAATGAGATAAAATTACCTGATCTTTTTCAAGAGGGGAAAAATCTTGTCATCAAAAGACAACTCAGAAGTCACGAAAGCTCATTTCCGACCATCTGGGAATCAAAATTTTCCCGGACTCCCATTTCAATTTGGGGTTTTTTACAAACATTTGAGCCCCCACTTTCAAATCCTGGATTTGCCCTTGAATATGCCCCAAGAACGTGGTATACTCTTCAGAAAACAGTAGGGGACTGTCTGTTTGTACTGTCCCAACTCACCACACCAGAAGGACCCCACTTTGAGTTGACCTTGATGCATTTAAAAAAAAATATTAAATCCCATAGCTATTTCAAAATTTATTCAATGTATAAATGCTAACCTCAATTTAGATTAGATTTAGTTAATGAGCTTTCTGATAACGGTTTATTCATTTTTGTGGAAAGTAATTACGGTGAGGGCAACCCTTGGGCGCAGGTCATAATTCAATTCATTCTTCAATCGCTCTTGTGTTGCAGTGAATACTTACTGGAATAAATTACTAACATAGAAAAATAATGTTGGCTTTTTGTATAAAAAAAAAAAAAAGAACCAACAGATATATAATTTTTCCCTATTTAACATTATTTTTCCATTTTACCTCATTATAGAAATTCCTAAATTTCTGCAATTAAATCAATTAAAGTGAAATAAACTGACGAGATGTAATTTTGTGAAGACAGACAGTTTGCCAATAGACTATGCAGCCAAATGGACTTTTGATCAAGAAAAGTTCCACCTACTGGTCATTTTCGTCAACTAGATATTCCGTCGACGGTGCTTTCTGTCCACAGCCAATTTGGCGTTGTTACTGCATGTGAGTATACAAGCACGACTAGGTATACTCCCCAGGGAGCAGAGAATGCTGCACTTTGTATCCAGTAACCAAGGTTAATAACCCCTAGTGCCTCATTGATTTATAAATCTGACATTATTACAGTATTATTATTATTATTATTATTGTTATTATCAAGATTTGTTATGAATGATTAGTGTCTCAAATATAGTGCACAATTATATTTATATAATACTATTAGGATGCATTTCTCATAATCTAAATGCAAAAACTATCTGTTCTTTTTTGCAATCGATAAAAAACAAGAATTTAAACAGAAGAATAAATCATACTATGTATAACACTGGCAGCAGCTATCAAATAGCATATTTCGTTATACATAGCTTAATTACATTCTGTTTGATTCATAGCATCAGTGATGTCATAAAAAAAGGAATTGCGATGACAGACTGAGAAAGATCATTACTATATGCAGTAAAAATATTATAGTTTATTGCTATGTTATCCACACACATATAATGGTTAAAAGGATAATAATAATAACAAAGATTATATTTAGATTTACTTATTGTTAACAATAGAAACTACTGTATAGTAATAAATTCAAACCAGAACTACTTTTTATATAAAATCCCCACTGACCCTTTGTCCCTTCCCTGATTATCTTCTTTACATGACAGGGGTCCCAAGTTACCCGCTACTGGCTGACGTGATACCATGAAAAACGCAACGCCAACAACGTGCACGCAACAGATCGTTTTTGGTGATGATCTGATAACACTGCTACCGACAATCAGTACACAGTGTTGCGTTGTCTAATGCTCACATGGACTGGAGTTGGATAAGGATTCATTTCGTGAAGATGGAAGATGCTAATTATTATTTTATTCATCTTTTAATACCTTATCCTTTTAGGCTAAATTGTCTTGGATTTCATAAAGATTAACCTAAGCTAAGTAAAAGTACTTTTTCCTGCAATATTCACAGTCAGTTTCAATAACTTAAGATTTCGCAATCTATATTAAGTTAAACTATATTCTTTTAAAAATTATAATTCCTTATACATTTAAACTTACAAAACCCAACAAATCAGAATGTTAATTTCAATAAAGCAGGGCCAAGAATATGCACATGTCCAATAACCCACAAACAAAACAACATTTTGTTTACATCTGCACACTCAGCCACGTTCCTCTGTTAAACAGCTGTCGTTTTGCATGACCTTTTTTATGTTTGAGGATGCAGACCCATGGTTTAACCCTATAGCAAGGTCCTACAAAATGATCGGCCTTACCTTATATCTTGAAAACCACGCCAAGGGACATAGCCGACTTGCATTGAAGGCTGAAAGTTGGCGTGAACCAATTTTTATAGCCGTCCACAATGCAAACTGAGGTACCTAAGCCTCCATGGCCAGAAGTATACAGCGTGAGGTTTAAACTACTAACCACGAGGTTGAAATACTTGAGCAGATACTGCTTCGCCAATAACCACCTAACTCATTTGCAAAAATATCTAACGAACGAGGGTTATTAGTGTTATGTTAAACTACTATTTTAAATGAGTAGGCTAGCACAACATCTAGGCTATGAATATTAATATTCATATTCCTTGTACCACCTATAAAAATACTCTACTCATAACAATTGGCACTTGCTCATTAAACAACTGTTGAATAATGAGTATTCTGGTCGGGATTATCTTGGCAATAAAGGAAATCTTGTATGAACTGTTTGGAATTGTGTGTTAGTTTAGAATAATCACATTCACATAACATTTTTTATATTACTACACAATTTTTATGTTAACTCTTACTGGTAATTCACTGATTATTGTACAACAAAGTGCTAGAATTACAATTTTTAAATCTTATAAAATCACTATACAAAGACACGGTGTGACCAAAAATAACTAGAAAATTGTTCAGTATTAACATAGTGTACTGGGCCAAAATTAACTTCACATATTTCTGATTAAAATCTTTTTTAAACAAAAAAATGATTTAAGAATGTGTATGGTATTAAAATATTTAATGTTAGGATATGAAATTCTAAAAACAGATTTAACTGTTATAAAAACAAATTACCATAATTCAAGAGTAAAAATAATAATAATAATAATGCAAAAATAAATGTTTATGTATAAAATCAACAAAGAATGTAAAACAATGAATTATAATTACTAATGTTCCAACATTCTAAAACCACTTTTAAAAGGATTGAAGTAGTTTAGGATATGAGAAAAGAAACTGCACTGTAATATATAATGCACAAATTTGAAATATCAATCTTTTGCGTTATCCGTTCTTTTACATGTATATGCAATTTAAACAAATAAACTATAGCAATTTATTTCTGTTCAAGTCATTATGGGCAAATAGGCATCCACATTATTAAGTAGAAGAATGCATCACAATCTGAGTTCTAGGGGCAAACAACTATTTCTAGGTATCGTAATTATCATATTGGGATATCGAATACAGTATGCGAAGGAATTAATGTTACAATCATGAATGTACAATTAAAGGCCGTATTCGACTGGTTCATTTCATGACAACGATATTTCGTTGAGTATTATTTTCACTGGACTGGTTCGTAAAACAGACTTTGTTGACAACAGAAATTAATGTAAACCAGAGTGCGTTTATC